AACCCTCAAAGACCTTCCTTCATTTTTACTAAGGAGGAGCACGGGTTGTGCTGTGGTAACTTCTAGTCTCCTTACCTTCACTACCTTCCCTACCTTCCCACCATAGTCAAAAACAGTAAGCTTTCAGGGTGACTCCAGTATTTTATTTGGAGTTCCTACCACTGGGGCCAGTCCACGCTGGACCACAGGGCCCATGCTCTTAATCCTTTGGGGACTTCCTCCTCCAGCCTCCGGTGTTGGCTCGTGTGCCTTGGAGAATATGATCTGGACCCTTCTCTCACATCCTCCCCGGGCAACCTCCTACAGTCTCGCTTATTTCTACATGTCCAAGCCCCACATTTCTCTATCTAGCCTACACCTTCATCCCCTGCTCCAGACCACCGTTATCTAGATACATACTCGGCAATGCCAAACTCAACAAGTCCAAAATAGAATTCCCACTCTTTCCTCTGAACTCTTCTTCATCCAGGTTTCCCTGATTCTGCATAGAGCTGCTATCCTTTGCTTAGGGATGAGCCTGTGACATCTTCAGGCTCTTGGGGGGAGCTTAATACGTCCCTCTCAATGGACTTGAAGTGAGTGGCAAGCACTCACCTACCCCTTTCTGGAAGCTTTCCTAAATCTTCCACACCATGTCTGGCCCTGAGTCTTCAGTCTTGACCCTTTGATATCTTCCACGTGGATGAGAGGTCGACTTCTGGAGTGGCTTCTCTATAAATTCCCTTTAGAATCCGGTGACCAACTTCAGTGCTGGTACCCTATCTTGGTGCCTCAGCAGAAGCACCCATATTCCTCAGCACCCTCAATTCTTTGAACTTCCTTCATTATCAATGAAGTCATTTATTTCACAAATACTTGCCGAGCATGACAATGTGCCAAGTATTATTTTAGGTTCTAGGGGGAAAGGCGTGAAAGAGACAAAGTACCTGTTTGTAGTGAGTAGAATGCTGCCCCCCCCCCACATTTATGTTCTCTCCTTCCAAAAACGTGACCTTATTTGGAAGTAAGAGTCTTTACAGGTTCAACTAGTTAAGCATCTCAAGTTGAGATCATCATGGATTTAGGCCGTGCCCTCAATTCAGTGACCTGTGTATTATCAGAGAAAAGAGAGGGAGGCTTGCACACTCAGACCCAGCAGAAGACTGCTCCCTCTTCCGGGGCCTGAATCCTGGGGCGAACACGTGACAACAGAAAATCAGTCCCGGTTGTTTGTAAAGGATCCTGCCCAAAAGAGCAGCTGGTCGGGAAAAGAAGAGCCTGATCTTTTGAGGCAACAAGAGGCAGAATCTGTAAGTGACCAGGAAGGCAACCAGATGGGCCTGGGGGTGGGGGGATGTCTTCCAGAGAACCCGAGTTCAGCTTGAAACTCTGCCTTGCTCATAGAGAGCACAACGCTATCTTTCAGTCAGTCTTTCACTCATTCTTCCTCGGTTTCACTGCCCCAGCGGAGGCAGCAATGGCAGCCCTGGAGTAAGCAAAGGAGTGGGAAGGGGTTGGCGGAGCAGTCCAGAATCTCTATCCACACCAAAACTTCTTGTTTGCCTCCAGGCCCAACAAGAAGAGAGGTACCAAGTCTTTTCTTTGAATGAAGATTGCAGCAGCAGTGATTAGTATATGGGGTCTGATACTGCAAATTACTGAACTGAAGTTAGTATATGGAGTGGACTTTTCAATTACTGAATTGATAATGGAGTGAACATAGGACGGGAAGACCAGAAGAGACATAGAACCTACCCAAGTTTTCAAGAGGCTGGAGAAGGACTAGCCCCACTCAGCAGGACTAGAGGGACAAAAATAAAGTGGCTTCTAGGATTACACCCCTGAAAGCTATGTGTTCCAAGCATTAAGTCATAGAGGTTTCAGATGATCGGTTACATAATCCAGGCTGGGTAGAGAAGGAAGAAGGGGCAGCGAGGCTCTGATGGGAGAATATAGTTGTTGCTCCAGACGCTAGGGTCAGAGAGTGTGGTGCTGGTATGACTTTCCTGACATCAGACATTTCTAGGTGAAAATCACAATCCAGAATGTGAGGCTGGGATGAGGTAACCGACCTGCTTTGGAACTCAAGAGATGAGAAAAGAGATGAAAGAAACTGAAGGCGGGCGCCTGGGTGGCTCAGTCAGTCACACGTCCGACTCTGGATATCAGCTCAGGTCATGATCTCACGGTTCTCGAGTTTGAGCCCTACGCTGACAGCGTGGAGCTTGCTTGGGATTCTTGCTCTCTCCCTCTCTCTTTATCTCTACCCCTTCCCTGCTTGCTCACTCTCTTTCTTTCTCTCTCAAAGTAAATAAACTTAAAAAAACTTAAGGCTAAATTGTTATACAGGTGCAGAAGTCCTCTGGGAGCCTGTCATGGTTTGGGCTGAATAGGAAGATGAGTATTCAGACCCCAATCCCCACCGCTATGGAAACCACTGCTGTCAAGATCCCCAGGAAATGCCAGTGTCACTTCTAACATAAGCAGTTCCCATTTCTCGTCTTACTTGGCAGTAGCGTCTGACATACTAGAGCCCTTCCTCTTTCTTGAAACACTTTCTTCGCTTTGCTTCAAGGATTCCACTCTCTGCTTTTACTCCTTCTTGGCCACCCCTTCTCATAGTCTTCTGCTGGATCCATCTCTTGTTTTTAGTGTTTAAATGCTGGAGGATCTAGGGCTCAATCATGGGAATTTTTCTCTTTGCCAGCTCACTTCCTAAGAGATCATACCCAGTCTTATGGCTTTAAATACCTCTCTATAGCTCCCAACATATATGTTAGCACCAACATCTCCCCCAAACTCCAGACTACTGACTTGATATCAATGCTTAGATATTTTAGATGTAGCATATCCAGAACCAAACACAACGCCATAACCTGATCTCCATCAAATTTGTTCCGCTCTAAAACTCCCTCTCACTAGATGGCGCCATAGTTGCTCAGTTGTTTAGGGAAAAAAAAATTGTAGTAAACTTCTATGCCTCTTTACTTACATCCCATCTGCAAATCTCGTCAACTAGGTCTTCCATATATAGGACTAAGCTCACCCTATCTCCCCCTCTCCATTTTGGCACAAACCATCATCACTATCTCTCTGCCTCCACACTTCTCTCTCTGTAATCTCCTCTCCACACACAACCATCCATTTAAACACACCTCAGATCCTTATCTCTCTGCACACTGCAGCCTCCCTATGGCTCCTACCTTCTCAGATTAAATTCCAGACCTTTGACATGAATTGCAAGGCGATGTGTCTGGCCATCTCCCAGAGCTTTCCTAAGGCTTTGCGAGGCTTTCTTAAACAAAGCTCTCTCTCGTTGAGCTGGAGGTAAAGTTTTTAAAAGAGAATGATCACATATTGTCTCAAAGAAAGGCCTCCGACGGCGTGTATTTGGAAGAAGTATTTCATCACTGAAGCACTTAGTAAAATGAAAAATCTATGAAGTACATTCTTTCTAGATTTTAATGCTTGATGTTATCCTTTGCTCTCAATGCTAAAGTCAAACAACCTCTCTTCTGTTAAGTCTTCTGTCTACTGGCTTCCTAATTCAGCTTCATTCCCAATACCCTACAGAAAAAAAAAGTTCTCTATTGTTCTGTGTTTATACACAGTGATTGGGAATCTGTGAAGCTTATGTCTGTCTTGCATTACTACTCTGGAAGGCACAAGTCTACTAAATCACACTTTAAAATATGCATATATAAACTGGTGGCTCGTCTGGTGAACTTCTGACTCTTGATATCCGCTTAGGTCCTGATCTCCCAGTGGTGAGTTCAAGCCCAAAGTGGGGCTCCTGGCTGGGCTTGGGGCCTCCTTGGATTCTCTTTCTCTGTGCTCAGTCCCTGCCTGCACACATGCATGCTCCCTCAAAATAAACTTTAAAAAATAAATAAAAATAGGGGTGCCTGGGTGGCTTAGTCCGACTTTCGCTTAGGTCATGATCTCGCGGTTCGTGGGTTCGAGCCCCACGTCGGGCTCTGTGCTGACTGCCAGCTCCGAGCCTGGAGCCTATTTCAGTCTGTGACTCCCTCTCTCTCTGACCCTCCCCTGCTCACGCTGTCTCTCTCTCTCTCTCCTAGAAATAAATAAAACATTCAAAAAATATATTAAAAAATAAATAAATAAAAATAAAAACATACACATATACTGTATTTAATCACCCCTAAAACCCACTTTTTTAATAAAGACTGAAATTGAGGGACACCTGAGTGGCTCAGTCGGTTAAGTCTTGGACTCTTGATTTCAGCTCAGGTCATGATCTCATCATTCATGGGATGGAGCCCCATGTAGGACTCTTCACTGACAGTGCGGAGCCTGCTTGGGATTCTCTCTCTCTCTGACCCTCTCCCACTGGCTAGCCTGGGCATGTGCATGTACTCTCTCTCTCAAAATGAAAATATTAAAAAAAAAACAACTGAAATTGGAATGAGTCTTGAAATGATAGAAAGCATAATTTATCAACATTTTTTTCTTTCTTGCTGGTACATAAAATAATGCCACCTTGAAATTGAGACCGTCTTACAGTTGATTAAAAACTGAGTGTAAATTTTGTGGGGTTATGTGCCTCAATCTTCGCTCGCAGTTTAGTCCATCATTCCATAGGACAGTTGTTTCTGCTACAATACATTCAAATATAAATTGAGTCAGGAACGGGGCGGAACTCCTCCCTTCCAAATTGCACATCTGATCCTAGGTATGAAGATACTCCTGAAACGGCAAAGCACTATGGCCGCGTGTTTCTTTACATTTAAAGATCACCTATCGCTAGGAACGAGCCACCCTTCACTCGCCAGCCTGACCTCTGCAAGGTCACGGGGGTTGGGCGTGGGCTCGGCAGCTGGGGCGGCGCAGGTAAGCGCGCCCCGCCTCCCACCCCCCTCGACTTTCCAGGTATGGGACGCGAACTCTGATTGGCCAAGGGGCTCCAGGAGCCAGCCCTTAGGCACCTTCCGAGCATGCGCGGGATGGGAGACGCAGGCGCGGCGCTCTCCGCGCATGCCCCGTACGCAGCCGTTGCTCTTTAAGGCGCTCGCGCAGGGTCGCGTGTAGCGGGCCGCCCTGCCACCGTCCGGCATGAAGGGCTGTGGGGTCGCTGTCACCTGCTGCCCGCTCCTGCGCCATGGAACGCCTGCGGAGCCTGAGCCGGCTCCTGCCCCGGCGCACGCTGTGTGCTCTGGCCCAGGGCCTGACTCCCGGGGCGCACCCCGTTGCCGCCTGCGGCCGCGCGGCCCAAGCGCCCGAGCGGAGCCGGGCCGCGCCGCCGTGCGGGCCCCGCCGGCCCCCTGTGGCAGGTACTGCCCTCCCCGCGGCCTGGGCCTCAGGGCCCTGACCTGACCCCGCGCGAGCCCCGGCTCCGAGTCCGCCCAGCGCCGGGGTCCCCCGCGCCCCTCGCTGCAACCCTTCCTCTGCAGTGCTCCCGGGCCGAGAATGTTCTGAGCGAGAGTTTCACCCTAAGTCCTTACGGTAGCTCTGGAGCAGAAATTGGGTTCGTCCACCTGAAATGGTTTTCTAAGTGTTACTTTCTGTTCTCAGTCTTTCTTCCCTTCCGAATGGAGACTGGTAGCGTTTTGACTGTTGTTCAAGCGACGGATGGGGACGCACCTATAAATGAGGCTGAAAACTTGGAGACTTAGTAGTAAGAGTTGCTCCCGCGGACGCCCTTAGTTTTCCGGTGCGTCCGACGGCGGGGGGAGTCGGAGCTGTTGATACTGTCAGCACGTGGTCCCGCATGATCGCCTTTTCACGCGTGTGAGAATGTGGGTGAGGGTGCTGCTCAGAAACGGGCGACGTTACAGTGTGTGGCTTCTCGAAAGTACGGCTCTGCCCTCCAGTTAACTTCTCTCAGCTTTCTTCTTGAAAGCTTTCCAAAGGAACGCGCCGTCACCACGTCCTTCTCAGGCTGAGCAGAGTGTGAATTGGGGCACACCCCATCTCCCCTCCGTTAATAATGCTTGGGAACCCAGTTGCAGCTCTGATGTTTCAGGACTAGCACTGAGATTCAGAATCCCCAGTTTGGAAACACCTTTCTTTAACTTGTGGTTGATTAGCAAATGCTGACTCATTATTGCTCTTTTACCTTGTTCACCTGACTCTTAAAATTTAATTTGTGTTTTGTAAAGGGGAAACAAGCCTCTGATGCTAACAAATTACATGAGTCACTAAGTGTATGTAATGGGAAGGAATAAGATCGGAAATGAGAATATGTCTACACATTCCATGGAGTCTGATTACTTTGGAAGCATAAAATAATTGATAAATTTTTTTTTACATCCTTTTATATTTAGTATTTTGAATACAGCATACTTTGTCATTAAATCGGCATGGTTATTCTTCAGAACTCACTTCAACTGAGTGATTACATTTTTTAAATAGATTTATTTTCAAATAAGGATTTTTTGTTTTCATTCCACATCATTGAGTTATTCCATAAATGTATTTCATACGTATGGGATCTGCATTCCAGTTCAGTGGGTTATCTCCTAAGTATTCACTGTATAAAGTATACATGTGGAAAAGTTAATACATGGAAGTAAAATGTGTAAGTTTCATAGCTGAGAGATCCAATAATCCTGATCCTGGAATGCTGAAACCGGTTTTACTTGCGATGTATGTTTTCTAAAATACGTCTACCAACGTCATTTTCTTGAGGTGCCTTTTTAAATTATGCAAAAAAATGGACATTTTCTTTAATCTCAGAACAGTGTAATATGTTTGTGCATTCAACTCTGAGATAGCACTAGTCATTAGAGAAAAGGTGGTTGGAATCCATAAAATATTCTGGTACCTCACCTACCGTTACTTTTAAAAATCATTCCCTGCCAAATTCAACATAGTCACCTACAAGTGTTAACAAGTAAGAGTGTTCTTTTTCATCTAGGAAAAAGTTTCCAAAAAATAGTCTGAAGATCTCCACATACTGTAAGAGTTCTCTATCTTAGCCATATGTTGAAACCTACTGTATTACCACAGAGGATTCTCTGATTTATTCTTCAGGTGAAATGCACCGGTTTAGATCTTCTGATGTCTCTCAAGCCACTTTAGCCAGCGTAGCCCCAGTGTTTACTGTGGTGAGTATGGAGGGTACGTTTGATGACTTACAGAAAGTACTTCCCGTACTTACTAAGTTAACTGGGGCAGGGGCACCTGGGTGGCTCAGTCGGTTGAGCACCAACGTGAACTCAGGTCCTGATCTCGCACTTTATGAGTTGGAGCCCCGCTTCCGGCTCTGTACTGACAGCTCAGAGCTTGGAGCCTGTCTTCGGATTCTGTGTCTCCCTCTCTCTCTGCCCCTCCCCTGTTCATGTTCTATCTCTCTCTCACACACAAAATGAACATTAAAAAAAAAAATTTAAGCTAACTGGAGTAGACTGGTCAGCCAAGATAATACTGATTTTTTTTTGTTTTGTTTTATAGTGAGTCATTACACCTGTTAGTCATGTCGTCTGTGTATTTTACTTAGCTGGTGACCTGAGTCCCACCTAGATTTGCTTAAGAGCAAGCACCCTTGAAACTTTGATGTTGACTGCAGAGGTCTTCTTTTGATACTAGAACTGGTCGTTCAAATCACAGCTCAGCACTTCCTTCTCAAGATTTCCCTGTGAATATGTTTAGATGTCCTCGAAGGCTGTTAGCCATACAGGGACTTGAAACCATGCTATACAATTGAATATATGCAGAAACATGTTGAAGCGGAAAAGTGTAGTATTTAAGAGTGTATGCTTCAAAGGTTCATGAACTCTGCAATGGTCTGAAATGATTCAGGGAGACAAATGAGTAAAATAATAAGAATTAATGTGTATCACACACATATCTAAGAAAGAGAAATAGTCTATTGGAACAGAATCATAGCAAAAGATGACCTAGGTGAATGTCGCATCGGAATTGGTTGTAAGATACTGTGACTTTTTTTTGTAGGGCTTTAACTTTAAAAAACAAACAGTTAAATTTTAAAAAATGTGCTTTTTCTGAACTAGCATTCCTAAATTCAGAACTCAGCTCTGCCTCTATTAACTGGGTGGACTTGGCTTGGACAAGGTATGGTAACATTTTTGTGCCTTAGTTTTACCTTAGTTTATTATCTCGGTAAACTGGAGATAATAGTACTTAGTGATGGGGCGCCTGGGTGGCTCAATCGGTTAAGCGTCTGACTTCGGCTCAAGTCATTATCTCACGGTTTGTGGTTTCGTGCCCCACATCGGGTTCTGTGCTGGCAGCTCAGAGCCTGGAGCCTGTTTCAGATTCTGTGTCCCCTTCTCTTTGCCCTTCCCATGCTCATGCTCTGTCTCTGTCTCAAAAATAAATGATTTTAAAAAATAGTACCTAGTGAAGTTCAAATTAACTCACAACTGTGTATGAAATCCTTAAGATTCAGGAATAAGACAAGGATGTCTACTCTCACCGTTACTATTCAATATAGTACTGAAAGTCTTAGCCTCAGCAATCAGGCAACAGAAAGAAGTAAAAGGCATCCAAATCAGCAAGGAAGAAGTCCAGCTTTCACTGTTTGCAGACAACATGAAACTCTCTGTGGAAAACCTGAAAGACTCCACCAAAAAATTGCTAGAACTAATACATGAGTTCACTAAGTCAAGGGATATAAAATCAAGGTGCAGAAGTCTGTTGCATTTTTACACACCAATAAGGAAGCGGCATAAAACCATAAAATAATGTTTTATGCATGGTAAGCATTTTATATATACTAGCCATTATCATCATTATTGTTTTTTTTTTTTTAATTTTTTTTTTTAATGTTTTATTTATTTCTAGGAGAGAGAGAGAGAGAGACAGCGTGAGCAGGGGAGGGTCAGAGAGAGAGGGAGTCATAGACTGAAACAGGCTCCAGGCTCTGAGCTGGCAGTCAGCACAGAGCCCGACGCGGGGCTCGAACCCACGCACCGCGAGATCATGACCTAAGCGAAAGTCGGACGCTTAACCGACTAAGCCACCCAGGCACCCCATCATCATTATTGTTTAGACTTATTAACGTAGGAACTTTTCTTTATAGCCTATATGAAACAAGATAACCCCCAGAATTAGTTATGAAAGTTATCACTCTTAAAGGTTTTGTAACATTTGGCCAGTTTAGTTACGAATAAATTCAGAGGGGCGCCTGGGTGGCTCAGTTGGTTAAGCATCTGACTTTGGCTCAGGTCATGATCTCGCGGTCTGTGGGTTCAAGCCCCGCGTTGGGCTCTGCTAGCTCAGAGCCTGGAGCCTGTTTCGGATTCTCTCTCTCTCTCTCTCTCTCTCTCTGTCTCTCTGTCTCTCTCTCTCTGTCTCTCAGAAATAAAACATTTAGAAAAGAAAAAAAAAAAAAGAATAAGAAATCTGTGGCACGTGGGTGACTCAGTCGGTTAAGTGTCTGACTCCAGCTCGGGTGATGATCTTGCAGTTCATGGGTTCAAGCCCACATCAGGCTCTGTGCTGACCGAGCCTGGAGCCTCCTTCAGGTTCTGTGTCCCCCTCTCTTTGCCTCTTCCCTGCCTGCGCTCTCGTTTTCTCTTGCTCTCTCTCCCTCCCTCAAAAAATAAACATTAAAAATTTTTAAAAATAAATTCAGAAATTAAATGCTGAAAGAAGGTTCTTTTCAGGTGAAATCATTGTGTACGATGAACACTTAAAATCAGTTGACACTATTTGAGAGGAGAGCTCACGAATCAGCTCACTTTCTAGGTGATGTTACTTCATAACATAACCTTTTTTTAAAAATCATAGCTTGTATGATCTTTTTTGTCAAAATGTCTCATTCAAGAAAGATGGTAAATATTGACATGCAAAAATATGTATCGTTAAGTTAGAAAAGGAGGAGCGACTGCACTGCAGTGTGTGAACATGAATGTACTGAAGGGAAAAGGCTGGGGGATATTCAGGAAAATGGCATGGTTTTCTCTAAAATTTGTTATTTTGGGTGATGAGTTTTACTTTATTTTCAAATTTTCTTCAGCTGGCCTATGTATTTGTGAAAGAAATTTGAGGAAATCTAGTCTGTATTACACAAAGTAGCTCCTTTTTATGTAAACTTTCCCTTTAACACTGATGGGTTATGGTACTCATTTGTATTGATCTTATCTTGCTCATGAACAATAAGCTGAAAGGCGTACTGTGGGATGTTCTTCTTTTGCTAGTAACACAGCATGCATATGTTTCCATGGTAATAACCCAGCTTTTCTTTCTTCAACTATATCTTAGAGTCTTTCTGAAAAATGCATATTTAACAGTAATTAGTTCAGTCTAGTACATGGTGATTCATTGTTAGTTGACACATTCACACTTGACAAGTATTCAGGACTTGTGGACAAGTATTGCAGAAAAATGTTCCCTCTGCTTCCTGAGAAATACAGAGATTTTCTGCATCCAGTCCTCTCTCCAAAGGCCTCTCAGAAGAGGCCTTTTCAGTAAATCTTTATTGATTCTACTACACTCATCAGAGAGACTTGATAGCCTCCGGTAGATCCGTAGAATCACAAGGTGAGCCACAGTCAGTCTCAGTCTGTTGAGAAAGATAAAGGATGGGAAACACAGAAGGCAGCACCAGATGTGTCCTTTTCAGAAGAGGCCGTGCAGCCATCCGGCAGCTTCTCTGGACACCATGTGACAGATCGGTGCGAGCAGTTGATGTTCTTAAAGGCGGCTGTGAGTTCCACCTTGGCTTATAAGCCCCATGCCTTGTAGTGCTGGCGTCTCCGGTGACCTCCAGGGCCCATCCCAGGCTTCCACAAGGAACGTGGCCAGTGACAAGAGCCACCACGCTCCAGGGAAAGCAGGGCCACGGCTTACCACGAGGTATCGGTACTTTGTAGTCTTCCTGGTCCTGCGCAGTCCAGCGGGTATCGGGCATTTTGACCAGAAGCAATGTTGCCTGTAACACAGCTGATACTCTATCAGATTTCCAGTGGAACCGACACAGAAAGTTAGTCCAAGACCACATTTGTCCTAGCAGAAGAACGACCTTCTTTTAACCCTTAACTCCTAACTATTTTAACCTAAAGAAGCTGCTATGGTTTATCTGCATTTGCATTTATGGTGCATTTGCGTAGCTGGGAGATACAAGAACATATATAATACTAGAAATAGTATACTCGGAAAAAATAATATTCTGTTTTTATTCTCTCTCTCCAGACAAAATTTGACAAAGAGGGAAACGTTACTTCCTTTGGTGAGTATGTTTACTCTTTTTTATAAATCACTTTTCTTCAGTCATTGAATGAGTGACTCTGATGAAATTTAAAAATTGTAGTGTTTTGAGTAGGATATTCTTTGTGTCTGTGGGTATACGGAAAGAGATCTCCTTTCAACATTTGTCCGTCCATCCTAATTGGAACTGACCGTACCTGGACTGTGCATGTTCTCGCAGAATTGGATTTTGTTTTTTTGTCAGGAGCCACTTTGTCTCTAAGAGGATGTTAAAGGGACATTTTGAGAGCAGAGGCTGGAATGCAGCTGGAGCCCATTTAATTGCTCTTCTTTAGTCTCCCTCTCACTGCCCTAGTCTACATATGCATCTTCTGTTCCACATGCAAGGTAGACCTACAGAGTACTGTTGACCTTGTGGTGGCATTGGGTGACAGAAGACAGGAGGGAACGGGTGCTAGATGGCACTCTGCCGAGATCACTCTTATGGACAGGCACTTTTTAAAATGAAACTTCACAGTGGACATCACTTTACAGTCTGACCTCAGACGCAGCCTGCAGGCCACCTGTGCGTTTCCAGCCCCGTGATCCCACTCCTGCCATTGCTGAGGTCTCCTGGGACATTTGGGTGTGTTTTGCTCATTCTGTCCTTCAAATGACTGTTGTACTTCGAGCTCTGAGCCCTGTCATGGATGTGATTTCACACTACAAGTCAGATGCTACTGTAACTGTATCGTTTTTTGAGTTTCTTCCTCCATCATGCTTTCTCTTAGGGAATAAGTTTAGTTTTCAGGTTGGACAAGCTGGTAAAGAACTGACTTTATTTTCTCATTTTCTGTTAGTCCAAGAGCCAAGAAGGTCAAAATATTAGTTCACAGATTTAAAATACTGAGGAGAAAACAGGAAACGTAGTTCTATACAACAGTATTAAAAACAAAAAGATGGCCCATCTCTAGAGCTAGAAATAAATATTCTAAATCCTAATTATGTATGGCTGTGGCTTTATATTAGTCCCAAGAGGCTTCTAGGTACAAAGAAATTTTATAAAGTATGGATAAGACAAAAAAATTATTAGAGTTTGACCAAATTTAGCCTGAATATGTTTTTGAGGTAAAAATGGCTATTACAAAGACTCATTTTGGCTTGTTTCTAGTAAGAAAGGGATCTTGATGATGGTGGGAGGGGTGATCTGATAGAAAACTAAACTCCTCCATTTATAGATTTGGCCCACTCTTGTTGTTAAAAATATTTCTTTTATAGAAAAGAAGAAAACTGACTTATATCAAGAATTAGGTCTTCAAGCCAGAGATTTGAGGTTTCAGCATGTGATGAGCATCACAACCAGAAACAATAGAATCATCATGAGAATGGAGGTAAAGGGTTTTATGTCCTCTGCACTTCTCTCCTTCCTAGCTGTCTTGATCAATATCTAGGTTAAAAGTAATTTTGTATGGACAACAGATATGTGAAACGTAGGGTACTTGATAAGATAACATATTGTCATGAGTGTAACTCTTCCATGAATTCTGTACCTACATTCAGTAGGCATAACTCTTGCTCTGTTTTATGTTGGAAGAGTTCTGACTGCATTCTCTGTTCTCACTGTTTGAATTGGGTTTCTAGTTTCTGAAATAAGAGAAAGAATCTTGATTTATAATAGACATTTCCAGTTGTATTCAGTCATGTGTCATCATAGTATAACTGTAGCCACCAAGAACATATTCTGGTTCTTCAAATAGCCCAGGAATATCCCTTAAAATTTATAATCTTAAATTTTTTATTTTAACAGAAAGCTTTCTAAAATAAAATTGAGTCCTTTCCTGCCTACTCAGAGTACATGAAATATAATTTAACTTTCCTTAGTGATTCAGAATAAATTCAAACCTATGTAATTTGGATGGGCTAATGTCTAGCATTCAGGAATAGGTGAGGAGACCTGATTCTCAATGGTATTGGCCCTCCAGTAGACATGAGACTTGCTTTCTTTAAAATGTCTTTGAAGGCAGGTTCCTGTCTTTTTAACTAGAATTTTTAAAAAACTAATAATGGGGGGCGCCTGGGTGGCTGTCGGTTAAGTGTCCGACTTTCACTTGGGTCAGGATCTCGCGGTTCGTGGGTTCGAGCCCCGCGTCGGGCTCTGTGCTGACTGCCAGCTCAGAGCCTGGAGCCTGTTTCAGTCTGTGACTCCCTCTCTCTCTGACCCTCCCCTGCTCACACTGTCTCTCTCTCTCTCTCTCCCCTAGAAATAAAAAAAACATTAAAAAAAAAAAAACTAATAATGGAAGCAGTTTTCAGAAAATATTCTTCACTTTTGTTATTGGTAGCTAGAACCCTTCAAAAAAGTCTTTTTTTTTTTTTTTT